GGAGGGGAGGGTGGTTTGTCGGGGCCGTGCTCCAGGTGGGACGACCACCGCTGGGTGCTGATGGAGGAGGAAGACCCCGCGATGAGCCCCAGCAGGACCTTTTGGCTGCGCCGTGCGGGACCAGCTACGCCGCTCGCAACAGGACAGGCTCGCCTGGAGTTACTTGCTGTCAGCATCCCTCGCTGGGGGTAGCCTCTTGCCTTACTGCTGAACGCCGAGCGTGTCGGAGCTGGTTCCGACCAGCAAACGGCTGTGCCCCTGAAGTGGAAACATGCTTCTAAGTTGTGTTACGTTTTGCTCATCAGCCTGACTGTGGTAACCAGGAGCAGCATCGGCTGTCCTGGCTCCGGTGGGTGGTAAGCACAGCTGAGGGTCCCTGCTGCAAGTTAGGGTTGATGATGTTCTGGCCAGTGTGAAGCTTGTGAGCAGGATGTAATTTCCATTAAAAATCAGACACTGAGACAAAACAGTTCTCACTGAAGTTTCTGAGATAAAAGTACTGAAAATCATGTAGGGAAAGCCTTCCTGAACTTACTTAGTGTTAATGTGTCTGTTAGTGTTAACAGACCATCTGTGCTGTCTGTTGGCATCTGCTTGGACTTAGAAGCAGCCTGACTGGAGGTGCTGTGTGCCCAGGACGCTCCTGGGACATGTGTCTTGCCATTTGTGTTCATCTCCTGCCCCAGGCACCGTTACCTCCCCCAGCACAGCTGTTAAGGGAACTGGAAGACCTTAAAAGTAAATGCAGAGCCTGCTGCACTGGGGAGGTGCCAAAGCCACAGTGGGCTCACTGCAGGGTCGGTGTGCAGGGGTAGGTGTGAGAACTATGAAGAAGGTCTGCTCTGTGACCTTTCTCTCTCTCACCTACACATGCACCTAGAGGTAGCCCCTGGTCTAGGGGCCTTTCTGCCTCGAGCTGAGCATGCTGGCCCCCCTGCTGCCGTAGAGGCTGAGATGTCTCCTAGGATTTAGGGCACTGCTGATTCAATAGTATGCCAAGCAACATGTGCCTTGCTGGAGGTGTCTGCCTGAGCTTGGGTTAGAAAGCTTAACCCTACCCTGGGGGACAGTGCCTCACAAATTTGCTTGTGCCTGGAACCAGTTTGTCAACTGGAATTTTAAGTGTCCAGCCGTGACACTGCCATAAAGCCAGGTCAGGCCTCTGGAGTGGGTGCCCCCTTCCCCTTGAGGGCAAGTGCAAAATCTGTGAGCTGGCGTTAAATCTACTGCAAGGAGCTAGTGAGAGCAAGAAGGAAGGAGACAGCCCCTGAGAGCCTGAGCAGCAGAAGTCCTACTTAGGGAAATGGGTAATTCACTGATTGGTGGGACATGCAGGGAGTTTTCCGCAGGAGCCATTGACTGGACTTCTGCCAGTTACCAGGAAAACTGGGGGTGAAACGTGTTAATGGTAGCTCATTATCTGTTAATTACTCTGTCATTAAAATGTGAGACCACCTGTAGTTCTGGTATTGGCAGGCTGTTTCCTAGGGTCATTAGGATAGTGATGGTAACCACACTGTCTAGGAATGGCATCGTCTGCCTTACTTGCAAAGCTGTTGAGTGTATCCTTACGAATAATTACACCAACTCCTTGGGAAAAAATATTCTTCCTTGTCCCTGCATCATCTGGGAAGGCTTTTTTGTTTGTTTTTATGGGATCTCTTTTCTTACCTCTCTAGATTACAGGTATACCTTTCTTCTTTTTGTCAGGTTGCCTAAAGCTTCTGTCATGAAAGAAATATATGTATCAGTGCCTGAAAGAGAGAAGCTGCTATTTTAAGGAATGTACGTACAATACTTCAGAGGGCTTTCTCATCACTCCAAATTACAGTTAAAGCTGCAACCAATAATGTGCCCCATCATTCTTTTTTTTAATAGGAAAAAAGAAAGGCTTTGAAAACAGTTAATCTAAAATAAAGTGTGCTGGAATCCTTTGGGTTATATTCCTGTTACTAAGTAATGTGGTCTGGTGGTGCTTTCTTTTTGCTTAACATAGTAGTGTACTGGTAAATTTAAAGTCAGAATCCAGGGATTAACAGCAGAATGCTTGTGGTTGTAGCTGGTTAGTATTTTATGAGGTGTTGCTCCTGACAGCAGGCCAATTAATTTAGATGGCTACCTTTCCCCTTATATGCACTTCAGCAGAGCAAGTAATCTGTCTGCTCTCAACCCTTGCCTTTTTAGTTAAAAATTTGATTTTTATTTTTCATTTCTGGCAAACAGAGACTGAATGTGTGTTCTTTTAATAGTTGGAGCCAGTACCATGTTTATCCCCAGGCGAGTTCTGCTTACAGTCTTAAGCCGAGTTTGAGAGTGTCAGTAATGCAGGTGGGCAAAATCACAAGAGAATGGCTATTAAAAGTGTGCCTAGTATTTCTCTGTGTGTTACTGTAGATGCACGGGACACTTCACATGGTGAGTAAAGGCACAATCTTTGCCTCTATTAGGTATGAATGAACATGACAAGATTCGACACCAGGATAGATAAGAGGGAGGGAGAAAGCCATATAGGGAGGGTTATAGGGCTGCCTGCCTGGGTGAAATATTGCATGCCACGTGCTCTGGCTTCTGTAGCAAGCAAAAGAATTTTAAGAGAATATTGTGGATTGAGAAACAGTGCAATCCTGGACTGAGGTTTGGAAGATGTGGTTGTGGGACCAAGTAGTGAGTATGAGGGTCAGACAAGGCACAGAGGGCATCTACCTGCACAGTGAATTATATGCTTTGTGCTGGAAAATGTATAGTCTACATCGATGAGACACATAGAAGATGGAAGGAAGCAGACCAGGTGTAGGTTTCCCATGTCTGGAGTTCACATCCAGTTCCTCAGTCTTTGGACAGCAGTTTTGCTTCCCCTCTGAGCCTTCTTTCTCTTTCTCCTTTTTTGTTCCAAGCAATTTTTTGGCTGGGCTGATAGTCTGAATCAGTTCACAGCCAGCTGTCATTCACCTAGGGAGGCGAGGTAGGGGAGAATGCACTGTGTCATAGTGCTGAGCATTCAGAAATACCTTGATCTGGGACTACATAGTGGGAGATTAAACTTGAGGGACAGAGGAGGTGTGGTATGGCTAGTGTGACGCTGTCTTAGATCTTTGTGTGGCAGCAAACTGGGAGACCTGTGTTCTCATCTGGGACTGCTGTTCTCTTCCTTAGGCTGCCCCTCCATTTTTTCCTCTTGCTCCTAGTTTCTTCCATCATGACTAATGCATTAAGTACCACCTGTAAATTGGAGAGTGGAGACAGAAATATGCATCTTGATCTATACGTGAACCTGACTTTTTGTTGTTACGGTGCTGAAAGTGAAATTCCTGGAGCTATACAACCCAGCTCTCTTAAGCCTCCAGGACACCACTTGTGACTGTAATTTATGCTGGTTTTAAAGCACCCCTTTCCGATGTAACAGCTGTGTAGAAGGATCCTACTGCAAAGGAAAACTGGGTTGTAGCACCTTTATCTACTGTACGCTCTCAGGGAAGTGAGGTGAGAGAGAGGTACTGCCAGTGATGGCATATACTGAGATGCTGAACAAGTCTCGGCACTGCTACTGTGCTATCTCACAGCCACCTAGAGCATTGTTTAACAGTTTCCCTTTTACAGTGTTGGGGAGAGATTATACCCTTGCTTTTCCCTCTTTGAAACTGCGGTGAAACATGCATGAACTCCAGGAGGTGCACAGGGATGTGAAAGTGCCAGAAGGTACAGCAGGGGAAGCACAGAACTGCTCAGACACACCAAGGACTTTGGCCCATTCCCTCTCACGCACAGCAGTAGCAGGCTGTTTGCAGGGGTCTGGCATGGAGGCAAAGCAGTCCTGGGACTCCAGTCTTCACCTCCTGAAGGAAAAGGAGATGCCAAAGGAATGTGAGGCACTAGCATGTCCTGAGCAGCTGTCATGCTGCCTTTTGGAGGGAAACTGAGCTTTGTGAGCTGTGGTTGTAGCATCACCTGGTGATGATACCCAACTGCTGGTGCTCAGAAGCTGGCTCTGCAGGGTTTGGGGAGGTTTCCTATCAATGGTGGGGGATTGAGGCTTGTTCGCTGGCCCCTTGTGCTGGCTCCAAGGAATTCTGACAAGGGAGGTCTGAGTGGCACTTGGGTGGCTTGCCAAGTTCATGACTGCTCCTTTTGGCATGGAAGTGCCAGCAAGGGAGCTCAGCTGCTCCGCTTTGTAAGGTCTCAGTCTCTAGGACTGTGTGAGAAGTTTTGCTAGGTCTCAGGCTGCTTTCTTCTGCCTGTGCTGCAGACTTTTTAAAGGAAAGCATTATTTACTCTGTGCCTGATGGCCTGTGTGATTTCCTCAGTGGTACTACTAATAACTGGCAGTATTACTCTGCTTTCAGTATCCGAATGTGAAAGCTGGGGGGATTTGCAGAGCAAAAAAAGTGAGAGTGCAATGCCAAACACCTTTCTAGCTGGACTGTGTGCAGTAGTCTGGAGCAGTGCTGATGATCTGCGTTAAAGCCTGGTACCATCAATCTGGGCTTGAGCCTTCTGGCTGGGTTTATTCAGGAGCTGAACTGAAGTTCTAAGCTGGCTGGTGAACACTTGTTCCTCACAATTCCCTGCAGTCATGGCTGTTCTTGTGCACTGCCATGTACATGATCAGACTTGTGTGAAGTGAAGGAGTGTTGACCTCCCAACCTCGTGCCTGTCCCAGGTGCCTCTTTTGTCTTTTTACTTGCTTGTAGATAGAAAGCAGCACTTCTGGTCCTTCCTCCTTGCTGGCTGAGGACTACTTCTAGTTCATTTCTCACCACAGGGGTGTGTCCTGCCATTCCCCCCCCCGACTAATGACAGGAGGGAACCCTATCTTGTTTTCCCTTGTTTTACTTTGTGTATTCATTTTCCTATGTTCTTTGTGGGTCTATGTCAGATTTGTACTCATGTGTTGCCCTGTATCTTCTTTACCTCTCAGTGCTCCATCATGTTTGTTCTTCCTTCTTCCCATGGTCTTCAGGAGAGTTTTTATGGTCTGTAATTCAGGAGTGCATTCCAGGACTGTCCTATAGGATCCAGAGTTGTAGTATGGTGTTACCAAGGTCTGGGGTATCCTTCAGACTCTCGATGTGCTGCAGAAGCATCTGAAGAGCTCTTTGGAGTACACCTGGTTTGTTAGTCCATGCTAGTAAGCTGGACTGGTGGTCGTACTTTGCTGAAGTGCTGCCTGATCTGTGGCCTGGGTTTGACATAGAGAGCTGCTAAAGATGGTTGTCTGGGATGAGCCGTTGCAGAGCAGTCTTTAAGATTAACCTTTCTGACCCTGGGTCTTTAGTATCAGAAATTTATAGGCAATGTGCTTCCCATAAATTCCTCCAAGCAGCCTGTTCTGCATTTGGCAGTCAGGCAGGCTTCTTAGATCAGCACATATGCACACTTAGCCTCAGAGCTGAAGCTAGAGTTATCTGCTGGCTAGAGGCTGACCAGATGTTTGAGTGCATCTGGAAGCCTGTCCTCTTACTTAGACATGCGAAGGCTACCTCTTCCTGTTTGTGCAGATGGGTAGAAACTGCTTGTGTCCATTGCTCCAGTAAGGACCACTGCACCAGCAGGGTGCATGTTGTAGGTGATGAAGGTCATGCGTGCTGCTGGTGTAAAGTGACTTGGCAGGATCGATGCAGGATCCATTTTACCCCATCTGCTCTCCTGTCCTGTGGGATTGCTTAGGGCTTGAGCACAGCCTTGTACTCTGGTATTCCTGGGTATGCTGCAAGGCACATTTTGCAGCAGAACAAATTTAAAGTCTGATTCTGACTTCCTGATGGCTGTGGTTTTTGAGAAGTTTTAAAAGCTAATCTAAAGAAAGAAACTTTTTTGTCCTCTGTGTTTAAAAGAGTATGCCCTGGAACCACAGGTGGAGTTTGGCCTGCAGAATTTCTTCCCTTATTTTCCGACGTATTGCATGCACCTCTCTGGTCCTTAAGAAAGACAAGAACTGGGCTGTGACGGGTCTTGACTGTGTGTCTGTCTGCCGTGTGCTACATCCCTGTAAAACTGTACTTCTACCTGCTCCAGCAAGTCTGCCTGCAAGCTGTGTTTTGTGTTACTCATTAGTTTGGTGTCTTGCTTGGAGCGGAAAGTTCTCCTGAGATGCTGCGGCACCGTCTGACTAAGTGTTGCAGCCCTTTCTTTGACGAAAGGTGCCTTGCTGTGCTGAAGTAAGAGGTGTCAAGGTGAAGGTGATTGAAACCCTGCTGTCCTGCTCTGCTTCAGCAAAGTGATGCCAGCTTTTGACTTGATAAAAGGCAAAAGCTGGGTAAGTGTCTTGCCTGGAGCACAGCCTGCTTGGGCTGTGCTCTGCTGCTGGTTTTGGCAGATAGCCGGGTAATGAGCCAGTGTAGCGCTACTGTTGAGAAGACCTAGTGTTGGCTTTCAGGAGGAGAAAGCCAAGGACAATCTTCTTGTGTTTTTAATTAGTGAAAATTGAATTTTGACCTCAAGACCTGAGAAAAAGGGTGGTCAACGAGGACTCTGTGTGAGCAAAGCAACTTTAGGAAAAGTCCATGCTGGCAAGCTGCTGAGCCAGGTTACATGCTGGCTTGGCACCATGTTTTCCTTAAGCCCTGTACTGCAGTGGCCCAGCATAAATGTCTGTACTTACTCAGCTGTGTCTCCCTCTCCCCCAGCAAAGCGAGCTGAACTCTTTCCTGTGGACCATCAAGAGAGATCCCCCATCTTACTTCTTTGGCACCATCCATGTCCCTTACACACGTGTCTGGGATTTCATCCCAGAGAACTCCAAGAAGGCCTTCCAGCAGAGCCACATCGTGTACTTTGAGCTGGACCTAACTGACCCCTATACCATCTCAGCTCTCACCAGCTGCCAGCTCCTGCCACAGGGGGAGAACCTCCAGGATGTGCTGCCCCGTGACATCTACCGCCGGCTCAAACGGCACCTGGAGTACGTCAAGCTCATGATGCCGTCCTGGATGACCCCAGACCAGCGGGGCAAAGGGCTGTATGCAGACTACCTCTTCAATGCCATTGCTGGCAACTGGGAGCGGAAGAGGCCGGTGTGGGTGATGCTGATGGTGAACTCTCTGACGGAGGTAGACATCAAGTCGCGAGGTGTGCCTGTCTTGGATCTGTACCTGGCCCAGGAAGCAGAACGGCTGAGGAAGCAAACAGGCGCTGTGGAAAAGGTGGAGGAACAGTGCCACCCGCTCAATGGGCTGAACTTCTCCCAGGTGAGACGGCGTGGTGTGCAGGGTGCCAGGCTTGTTGCTCGGGTGGATGTTGCAGCAGCAAGAGGATGGGCTGGGGTGTGGGTAAGTGGTCCCTACCCAGAGGCTTGCATTTGCTCCCTGCAGCCCATGCCTTTAGCTATGCCTTCAGGGGAGTTTGCTGGCTATAAGAGTTCAGGCCACGTCCTAAATTCGTTTAGGCTTGGCCTGGGGAGACCCTTGTCCTCTTCCCTGGGCAGCTTTTGGCAGGCTCCACCCTAAGAGGCACTGGACCTTTGGATGTCTGCTCTCTGACCCTGACTGGGCTGCCCTGCAGGAGCCCCTGGCAGGCTGGGGCTGGGTGTCTGAACTTGCATTGGTAATAGCTAGTTAAGAAGAAAGGTGTGATCTTCTGGGGAAGCAGGGGCGCTGTGAGTAAAGCTGAGAAGTAAGTGCTGGTTGGAAAAGTATCCTGGTGGACCTCTCAGTGCCCTCAGAAATAGAGGCCCATCCTCTGCATTGGGAAAAGTGGGTTTTGGGGTTGTTTGTTTTGTTTTTTTTTTTTTTTTTTTTTTTCCCCTTCCTTTGAGACCAGGTGAGGGTCAGCACAGCACAGCTTCCTGCAGGGAGCTCCACAGGCTAGGGCAGGCCCTTGTGCAAGTGCCTTTGTGTTTGCAAACCAGCTGGACTTTAGCACCGTTGTTCAGGCAGTGTCATAACCAGGCAAGTAGAATGACTTCTGTGTTGTCCATGTGTTGGATGGGGGCAGTCGTGGGCTCTCCTCTCTGAACTAAATACACCAGGAAGCAGCATCTGTTGCTGTCTCTGCCTGCCCAATGGGATCACAAGCAGGCATAAGGTTGCTCTCTGGCCTGGGGTACCTTTGCTGCAGGGAGGTGCTAGTTTGGGAGGAGGAAGTGGCGTTTGCTTAGGAATAGGGGAGACCTGCTGTTGCACCATGCCCTGGTAGTCCAAGGTGGGAGGACCTTTGGTCACAGGGCTGGGGAGTTTTGACTGATGCCTGACCGTTTCCCCTGCCTTCTGAAGCCTGTCCCATCACTGATGCAGAGTTTCCTGTGCTGGAAAGGAAGGAGCAGAAGGGGAGGTGCAGCCCAGCACGGGTGATGACAGCAGTTCGGGGCAGATGTCAGAAGTGCTGTTACCCCAGCCAGTCTTGGTGGGGGACCACAGTGCAGGGAATAGCATGGCAGCCCAGGGTGGATCACCTGTGCAGTCCTTAGCTGCAGGCAGGGCATCTGCACTCCTCTCTTCCCTTGTTTGGAGCTGGTCAGCCTCTTTCACATTTCCAGTCTTTTGCTTAGCTGCTTTGAATCCTTGTGCTGTCCCTGTTTGCTTGCAGTCACGCTAGGAATAGGCTGGGAAGGCCCATCTCCTCCTCCTCTTATCTGGTTGAGGCTTTATTAATGTTATTGCGTGATTTTTACTTTTGCCAATGCTGCCCCTCTGGTTTAGCATGGTAGAAGTGCTGGGGGGAGCATGTGCTTTCTCCACTGCCTTGTAAGAAATTGGTAGGGAGGCTGTGAAATATAGGTCCTATTAAGCTCATGCAACTGTTGATGCTTACTTTAGGCCTTCACACAGCTTGCTTCACAGAGTGGCTGTTGCTGTGCTCCTTTGCAGGTGACATAACTGTGAGCTGGGAAGCTGCATGGGGTGGGGACATAGAGCTGCAACATCCAGAGTTGCCCAACCTGGTGACATTTATTGTGAGAGCCCAGCTGAGGGGGTCAGGCTAACCAGAACTGCTGGAGAAACTTAGCTTTAGTCAGGGCAATCACAGCCCGTGATTACCCCATGGTGGGTGGAGATGTGCTTGTGCATCATGCAAGCTGTGGCTCCTGCCATGTCTGCTCACTTCCAGGGGGAAGCACACTGTCCCTTGTGGTAGCAGGTCTGGAGCAGCTACTGCACCACAAATTCACACCCCCACTTCTGCCCATTGCAGATTTCCAATACAGGCAGCTCGAGGAAAAGGAGAACCAGAGGCACGTGATTTTTATGTTTCTAAGCCAATTTTGTGGTTGTTTCAGAACCTGACTTGTGAACTCTCATGGTTGGCAGTTCTGTAGATCTTTGATTTCAGAGCTTTCTTCTCAGTTTGTTCAGGCAGTTGAGTTAATTATGTGCTTAATGTAAACCAAACAAAGACTTTAAAATAGGCTCTTTGAAAATTATTTCCTTTGGTATTGTGCTGCTGCCTGGGAACCCCCAGTGTCAGACCACTGCTGTGTTTGCCTTTCAAGAGAGCAAACACACGGGAAGGACTTACAAACTTACACTGGGGAAAATGGGGACACAAAGCCATAAGGAATGGTCTAATCCTGTGCAAGAAGTGCTTTTTTGTTACAGCAGAGTCACAGAGAGATGATTTATTTGGCAGAGAAGCATGTTTAGTGCTCTCAGTTTATGTTTCTGCATAGGGTTTGCTCTTTCTTTCACTTAGGACATGGTTGTACTACCTGGTGAGGAGGACTCCCGGGCCACTTACAAGCAATACATTGTTATTAGCTAGGTCCTTCCTTTGATCCATACTATGGGACAAGGCCTGGCTGGTGTGGGTATGTTATTGCAGGTGAAGGTCTGGAACAGTTTATCATTGTCTCCATGGGGTTGCACAATATTCAGTAACTGCAAAGTGCAGACAAACCCAAGCTAGAGACTTCCTTCTTCTCCTTTTGAGGAGAGAGAAAAAAAAAACAAACAACCCCCCCCCCCCATACAACAGCTAATGCTGACTGTCATAACGCTCATTTTCTTTGACTCTATTGGTTCCAGTTACCTCTATCTTTTGTTTTATGACTTATTTTACCTGCCAAATCTCTCCGTTCTTGCTCAACTCAGGCTGGCTGCCCAAATAGCTGGGCCATGAAAGTATCATTTCTATATGGTACACAATGATGTGTACACAATCTGTGAAATACTTTACTGCCTCCTCAATCCCCCTCTCTTGTTCCAAGATATATGCAACTTTAGGGAGTATGGGAAGATCAGTCTGTCTTCATGCCAGGGCCATGATGTGTATTTTCCTGTTTCATGCTGTTTCTATCCTAGTTTGTCTTAAAGACTTTTTTCTCCCACTTTTTTTCTTTCATGGGTAGTGTCTCTCCTGTTGCAATACCCTATAAGGATGCAAGTCTCATTCCTAGTAGCATCTGGGCTTCTAGAAGATAAAAGGCTTTCTAGATATACCCAGTCTGCCACTGCTGACTTCCAGCGCTGGAGTCAGTCCCTCAGACCTCCCAGCTCTTCCTTTCAAGTTATGGATGTGCGTACATGTTTGCTGGATTGGAGGCATTAGTGCTCCAGCCTAAAGCCTGTGCAGCTTTGCTGTTGGCTCCTGCTGTTGTGTCATGAACATCAGTTTGGTATTGGCTCAGAAAATGAGCTGGCCTTGGCCTGACCTGTGCTATGCACTCGTAAACAGGCTGTGCTTTGGCACACTCGGGTGGTGTCCAGCCTGTGTTTCCCACAGACCTGTTTGAGCTTGAACACAAGTTTGGACTTGTGTCTACCCTCTGTGTGGGACTGAGGCTTAAGTGTGTAAACACTGTCCAGCCATCACCACTTCCTAGCCAAGACCCTGGCCAGTTTGGCTTCTCCAAGCTTGGGACACTTGATGGAAGACTCCACCTGTTAGCTGTTCTTGATTTGAGAATTATTTTCCCCACATGGCTTTCCTGTGTCCAGACCTTGCCACAACACTCTGTTCCTACCTGAGCATCTGAATACATGGCTACATCTTCAAAAGTAGTCTTCAAGTCTGCTCCTGAAATCCTGGCTTCAGCTCTGGGACTGAGCACTTGAAAGTTTTGTCTTTTGCATGTTTCAGCCACTTCCTCATACAATTAGTTGCAGATAGAAAATGAAGCAAAGGCTTCTAGGGTTGATCATTTTGCCATTAATTAGGACATTAATTGTCCATGTTTCTACTCAAAGAGCAACCTCTGCAAGCAACAAAGCGCTGAGAGATTCCTGCTTTTCTCTAAAGGGACTTTTCTAAGTTCTGGACCACTAACAGGACTCTGTGAGAGCTGTAGACTCCTGCTTAGCAAATACAACCCTCCTGACATAACAGCAACATCATTTTTCTTGCTTGATCTGTGTACGTACTTGGGTGAGAGGGCCACCCTTGATAGCCCCTGGTATAAAACTACTACTTAGGAGCAGCCCACATCTGTGGGGAAAGTAGGAAGCCAAGACACTACTGCCTTGTTACATGTGGAGGGAGCAGTTGGTTGGTTTGGTTTTTCCCCTTCTAAGGAAGTTAGAGAAACAGCAGTGATGGCTTGATATTAGTCCCAAAAGATATGATATGAAATTGGAGAGAATTATACTAGTCTCTTCATTTCAAATAAAGGGCTTTTTTCTACATTGAGTTGATAAATTATAATGTTTGTCTTAAATTTTGGGGATGATGAGGTCAGATCTGGCAGTGTTTCCATTCACAAGACCCCGGTTCAGGTTCACCTTTGACAACAGCAGTGACAGAGAACCTCAGAGAAAGAAAGTGCCCGGAGAGGCATGCAGTGGGAGCTCTGCAAGGAGTAGTTCAGATCCAAACTTGAAGCAAAGCGAAGAGCAAGTTGGATGGGACAATACTTGCGGTAACCTTGATTGCATATTCTGCCCCTGATTGCATCTTCTGCCCCGAGGGTGTAACTTCAAGATGTACTGTCAGGAACAGCCCTCTCTCAGGTGATGGGAACATCAGGGTTTTCTGCACATGAACTGGAGCTGAAACGACTGAATTGATCTTATTTGCATCTTCGGCTGCTGGAGTCTGTGATCTAGATTTGTTTTTGTTTTCTGTTTGTGTGTAGGCACACCTGCAGCCTCCAAGTCTAGACATCAGGAATGGGGAATGGGCTGTCCGGTGGGAACCGAAATAGCTAAGGCTTTGCATTTCTATTGGCATAATTAGAGTTGAATTAAGATCTTATTAACTACCTGGGAAGTTCAGGGTTCTTCCCTCCAAGAGAGTGAAAGGAGAATTCAGTTGCTGA